AGCCTGTGCCAGTGTTAAGCTATGTATATTTGGCAGCTTGATAAACCATGTGCCAGTTATGGGCCCGGGATACTTACAATGTCCCTAGCCTGGAATTTCCCCAACGCCTACTCAACCTTCATGACTGAGTCAAGGTTTCCTGGACGAGGAAGCTTTCCCTAGCTAACTTCCTTCCCCCTCGCTGAGCGAGAGTGGGTGCCATCCTGCCCCTGGGGCATTCTTTTATGAAAGCACTTATCCCACTGCATTTTTAAATGTTTCTTTTCTTTTAAATTTTCATCATGGCAAATTTCTAGCATAAACAAAAGCAGCAGAATAGGATAATGTAGCCCATGCACCTAACACCCAGTTTCTTTCTCTTTTAAAAAAATTTTTTTATTGATTTTTTACAGAGAGGAAGGGAAAGTGATAGAGAGCTAGAAACACGGATGAAAGAGAAACATCAACCAGCTGCCTCCTGCACACCCACCCCCATGGGGAATGTGCCTGCAATCTATGTACATGCCCTTGACTGGAATCAAACCTGGGACCCTTCAGTCCACAGGCCGACACTCTATCCACTGAGCCAAACCGGTTTTGGCCCAAAACCCGTTTCAACAATTACAAACTCATGAACAGTTCTGTTTCTTCTATATCACTTCCACTATCCCCCTTACCTTGGATTATTTTGAAGCAAATATTATCAGTAGATACTTATTACGTTTCTCTAAAAGATGAGTCCTTTAAAAAACACACACAACATAACCATAACACTATTATCACCAGTAAAAAATTTCACAATTATTCTTTAGTGTCATAAAATATCCAATGTTTATATCTCTCTGATCATCCAACTACATTTTGATGGTTTTTAAAAAATATATTTTATTGATTTTGTACAGAGAGGAAGGGAGGAGAGAGACAGAGAGTTAGAAACATCGATGAGAGAGAGTCATCGATTAGCTGCCTCTTGCACACCCCCTACTGCAACCAAGGTACATGCCCTTGACCGGAATCGAACCAGGGTCCCTTCAGTCCCCAACGCTCTATCCATTGAGCCAAATCGGTTTCGGCTTGATGGTTTTCTTGACTGTCTGTCCCACTGGACCTAATCAGGAACCCGGGCTGCCTGTGTGAGTGCCTCAGTCCTTGTCTATCACTGTCCATGGGGCTGAGAGACCTGTGTGCACACACCCACGGATGACAGTCATGGCTCCGTAGGCGAGTCAGGACCCTGAGTGCCTGAGTAGGACGAGGCCTCACCCTAGAATATGAAGAACTGCCCTTAGCACGTGTGCTGACCAGGCTCATCTCAACTCAGCCAGGGCACCTTTCTAGAACAGACACGCAGTCCCTGCTCCCCACCACTGTCTCTTCAGCCAGAATCTCCGAGAATGGGGCCAATGCACAAGGATTTGGGGAAGATGCCTCAGGTATATATATATTTGATGTATTGCCCTTTCTAGCCCCATTTGGCCCCCACCAGAATGTGGTCATACCTGGTTGTCAGATACCTTCACTCTGAGAAGAGAAAGCCCTTGGGTGGGCCACCAGGCCCAGCAGCCTCTTGTAGAGAAATCTCAGTGTCCAAGGAGGCCTTGACACCAGGTTGGCTTTGTGGCAGAACCACAAAAGCAGCCAGGGGAGAAAGGTAATATCTTTGCTGGATTATTCAGGGACCACCTCCTCAGAGAGGCTTTCCCTGAGTCCCCATCCTCCTCCCCCACCCCCAGCAGCAGTGTGACCCCCTGAGCTCATAGGGCTGTTACCCTGAGCCAAACACAAGCAAGTCCAGTGCCAACCTGATCCTAGGCCAGACATCAGTAGAAGGAACTGCCCCAGGGCCACCCTCAATGGATCATCTCTTCCCCGTGCAACCCATACCCCAACACCAATTGTTGGGGTTGACACCAAGCCATGGGCCCCCAGAAGCCAACCTATGATTTCCACCTGCTGCTGAGGGAACTTCCTCAGGCCTTTGCCTGGCCAGAACAGCCTGCGTGAACCTGGACCACAAACAGCCCCTTCATCCTCCTCCCACCGCCGCGGGCCAGCCCATTTTGTACCCTGAGGCCTTGCAGCTGATTCAGATTGCAGCCGTCTCCCTGATGGGCAAGCGTGTGATAAGCCGCCCTCTAGAGAGGTGAGGGGCGGCAGGGGTCCTGTGTGTCCTACCATCGCCACAACAGGGCAGTCCTCACCACAGCCTCGTGCTGCTGAGACCAGACGTGGGCAGAGCCCTAACCACGAAGGGAGGAAGGGAGCAACCATTAGCACTAATGAGGCAGGCGGCCTGAAAGCTGTTTACGTGGAAGCTGCTCGCCCACCCAGGGAACAGACCGTTCTGCTTCCTTGGCTTCCAGGAACCCCAGGCAGAATGGAGTTTGGGGACAGGAGAAGGGGTGGGGGTCTTGAAAAGGCCTGGAGGGAGAAGGAGCGAGGAAGAGCCAGGGATGGAAGCAGGAGGGGCCGGGGTTGGCTAGCTGGGTTTCTCTCTTCCATTCCCCCATACCCCCCGGGAAAAAAAAAATACTCAGGACTCTAGATCTGTACCCTCCTCTGCCTCACTCTGGCCACTGGCCCATCACCCCCTTCAATGCCTTTGACCCAAGTTCCTGGAAGCAAAGCAAACAACATGCCCTGTAGTGTCTGATTGAGCATCTCCGGGCCCACAAATTAAATTAAGCGCTCAGGGCTGCCTGCCTTGTTACTGCTAATGGCTCCAGCCTGCCCCCAACGGGTCCCTGTCCTGTCAAAATCTGGGGGCCCTGGGCACCCCTGTCATGTCCCCAAACTTTAATTGGCTCCTGGAGACCTCACACACACAATCGGAGATGGTCACCCTCGTATAGAGCACTCAAAAAAACTCAGGTTTCAGGGAGAGAGGCTTCAACTGTGCGTCCGTCCCCTCTTCTGGGGAAGGCCCCTCACATCCTGGCTTCAGGGAATAGTCACGTGTGGGCCCTTCATCAGACTCTGCTATATAAGTGGAGGGCACCAGGCAGCCAGGAATGCTCGGGGTAAGGATCCAGCCAGCAGAAGTAAGTCCTTGGGTTGGGCAGAGATTCCCCTTCTCTGGGGGCCTCTCTTGGGGGGTAGGACACTTAGAGGGTGCCTCCAGGGGTGAGGAGGGACTAAGTGTTGGGTCTCCCTGCTGAGCCAGGCCATGCTGACTGCAATGCTGAGCTGTGCCCTGCTGCTGGCACTGCCTGCCATGGAGGGGGCCCAGATGAGCTTGGCAGCCCTGGAGGGCATCAGAAGTCCTGACGAGGCCCTGTTCTCAGAGCTGTCAGGTCAGTGTGGGCAGGGGTGGGTCTGGGTGGGGCTTGGATACCCTGTGGCCACAAACCATTCAGCCTGGTACGAGCCCTCCTTCTCTTTTCCCACTCCCAGGCCTGGGAAGCGGGCGTTGTGTGCATGGCAGGGGGTTGGGGGTTGGGGAGGGGGGTCTGCTCTCACATCATCTGTCACAGATCTGGGCCTGAGGCCTGAGCTGGAGAGGACAGCTGCAGAACAGGCAGAAGAGGCTCTGCTGCAGGAGGCCAAGGACTTGACAGAGGTAACTATCTGTTCAGGGCAAGGGGTGAGGCTACAGGCCTTGGGCGGGCACATCGGGCATCATTCCCACTCTCCATTACATTGACTCCCCCACCCTCCTTACCTGGAGCAACCCTGCAGACCCCCATGCGCCGCTGCCATCCCACTTGCATGGGGCAGGTGAGGTCCCTGGACTTGCCTTTGGAGGCTTATGCTCCCGCATCCCTCCCTGCAGGCGCTAGATCCAGAAGAACGGGAGCCACGCTCCGTGCGTCGCTGCGTGCGGCTGCACGAGTCCTGTCTGGGACACCAAGTGCCCTGCTGTGACCCATGCGCCACGTGCTACTGCCGCTTCTTCAACGCCTTCTGCTATTGCCGCAAGCTGGGTACCGCCATGAACCCTTGCAGCCGCACCTAACGGGTCAACCCCGTCAGAGTCGGGGCTGTGACGGGGTAGGGGGCGTGAATAAAGTTTGGGAACAACGGCAAGGCTGTGACATTATTTCAAAGGTGGCCTTTGGAGGGGGGTAGGTCTTGGCAGGTGCCTAGTCTAGAAACCTCATACCTCCCCCAGGGCCTGTGTTACCCCATCATCTGAGTTACTTATAGGCACAGTCTTAGGGCACGAGGCGCCGTTGGGGGAAGCAGAAGAGAGCCTCTTTTCAGCCCTCGAGAATCTTCTACACTGTAGAAATTCCCAAAGTGTAGTACGCGTACCCCCAGGGGTACGGGAAGAGTTTGGTGGGGGTAAGCGTTGCACCGGAGTTTGGTGGGGATATGCACTGCACCCGTGCTTAGCTGCGCCTAATTCTACGTTCTCATGAGTACGAGAGGTACTCAGCGTAACGAAAATCATAGAAGGGGTACACATATGTCAAAAGTTTGGGAAACACTACATTAAAGGAGGGGAAGAGGGGCAGGGGGCATAGCGCGGGATAGGGGATGTAACTTCTGGCTGGCGAACAAGCAAGCATTAGGTTCCAGGACCTCTTACAGCTTCCTCGATGGGTGACCCCCCCGCGAAGGCCGCCCTTGCCCTACCTGTTCCCCTCGGGGGAAGGCTGACTCAACAGTCTGGAATATTTCCAAGCATAAATAGCTCTCATCTTTGCTCCGCACGCCTTCCTAAGTGCCAGAGACACCAGACCTGGAAAAGCTAGGGGATCCAATTCAATGTCCACGGCACGGGCACCACCGCGCGGCCGGCGTAGACACTCCTAGCGGCTCCAGCAGAGAGCCAGGGACGCTCGTTCCCTCTGTGCGCAGGCGCCAGAGCTCTGGCCCAGCCCGCACCTGCGCAGTGCCTCCACTTGAAGCCATCCGGAAGAAGGGCACCACTCCGAGCCCGCCCCGCAGCGGCCACGTGACCCGCTTCGCGTGTCACCTGACGCGCCTGACAGGACGCTGCGGGCGCCGCCGAGTCAGCTGATCTTGGAGGAGCGCTGCGAGCCTGCGGGTCGGGCTTCTCCGGTCCCGCCGCAGCCATGTCGTACTTCCCGGAGCTCTACTTCAATGTGGACAATGGCTACCTGGAGGGACTGGTGCGCGGCCTGAAGGCCGGGGTGCTCAGCCAGGCGGACTACCTCAACCTGGTGCAGTGCGAGACGCTCGAGGGTGAGGCGCGGGGCTGGGATGCCCGGCCTTGAAAGGCCGGCAAGGAGGCTGGCCAGGGTCTGAGGGTTCCGAGTGCTGTGCGGGAGGCGGGGGGGGGGGGGGGAAGCCGAAGGAGGGGGGTCTAGAAGCGCCTGAGAGGCTTCGTTCGGAATCGGGGGCTGATGGCGGGGTCGCTGGAAGGAGATCTGCCTCCAGCTGCGGCTCAGGCCTAAACGCAAACAACGCTTTAAAATCTCAGCGGTTCCCCTCTGCTGGGGCCGTTTCTTTCTTGGTTAAGCCCACCATGTAGTTTGGAAGAGAAGGTCTCTAGGGAGTGGTTGGTCTGTGCGAGATGTGCCCATACAAGTCTCTACCCCGACGTAGCCAGTGAGCTGTCCCGTGGCAACGGAAAAGCACCCCGCTTCCCTCGTCACACATACACCAAGCCTTTGGGGATCATTGTGTCTTCTCCTTGTCCGAGGGGTAAACCTTCTTGGGGAATTGCTGAGCCTGCTTAGTTAAGAGTTTCCCGTCATCGCGGAGCCACTGGCTGAGCAGTCTTCTGAAGGCACTGTTTGAGAGCAAGGTGTGGCCCTGCAAGCCAGGGGAGTTCACACACATGTATTTGGCGAGTAAGTCCAAAATCTTCAGCGAAAAGGATGCTTGTTGAGATAGGGTTTTCCTAGCACAAAAATTGCGAGAGGCTGAGTCCCCTTTTCCTTTCAGCCCACAATGTTTTAAAGTGGGATGGACCCCCGAGGAGGCACATTTGCATCAAATTTACTGAATTAGAGATGCCCCTGACTCCAGCCTTTGCCTCCTCTCCCTCCTCCCAGGTGGCAGTGAAGGACCCAATGGCTGGGATGGAATCCCCATCCCAGACCCCCAAGTTTACTGTTGAGCTGGTCTCTTGGTAGCTAGAGGGGGAAGATGACCAGATGATTCACCCTTTGATTAAATTTCAAATAAAAAAAATGTATTGAAGTTAAAAGTGAGCTCACTTAAAAAAAAAGTTTTATCTTGCAATAATGTAAAAACATACCTTTAATTTTAAAAACTCACTAAAATTAAAATACGATTGTGGACTTTGTGGTTTTAGCGTAAGTGTACAGAAAGATTGTTCACTTCCCTTACAGGAGCGGAATCGAGGAAGGAGAGCAGAGCATTTAGGGTGCTGAATTGTAGGAGCCTACCAGCAACCCAATTATCCTCACTGTCGGAAAAGGAGAAACGGGGGTGGGGGCCCTCTCTGGGGCAGGGTCTGACACACAGCTGGTACTGGGACTGGAGGAAGATCTTTGCTTAACTCTGAAGCTGAACTCTATTGACATTTGGGAAGCTTGTTTTTCTCTAGGCTTTACTCATTCTTGCTGCTGACTCCTCCCTAACCTTCCCCATCCCCCACAGGGTTCCCATCTTCCGGGCAAGACCCTATGCCATCCTCCACAAACATGTTAGGCCATTCTTCCTATAATACTGCTTGGGACATAGCCCCCTTGTGGACCACAATACAGACGTTTGGCATGACATTCAGGGATTCCCTTGCTCTTTCACACACATTACTTACCTTCACACAAGCCATGCCTTCAACTCATGGTGCACATAGTGTGGTGGACTTCGGAGTTAGGCAAATCTGAGTTTGAATTCCAGCTCTGTCAGTTATGGATTACCTTAGACAAGTTATTTAACTCCTCTGGACCTCGGGTTCTTCATCTAATATATAACAGTACCTATCTCAGAAGCCTGTGAAATGTCAACAAACTATTATGTGTGCAGTACTTAGCCCAGCACCAAGCACAGAGTAAGTGCTTCCCTGTTTTTAAAACAAAAGTATATTTTCATTGATTTTTAGAGAGAGAGGAGTGGAGAGGGGTAGAGATATAGAGAACATCAATGATGAAGGGAATCATTGATTAGCTGCCTCCTGCACGCCCCCTACTAGGGACCGAGCATGTCCCCTTGACCAGAATCAAACCTAAGACCCTTGACTTGAGTCCCCAGTCTGATACTGAGCCAAACCGTCTAGGGCTAATTAAAAAAAAATTAATGTAGCATTTTAAACATGAATCAGGGAAAGCACTTCTTTTTTTAAAAAAAATATATATTTTATTGATTTTTTACAGAGAGGAAGAGAGAGGGATAAAGAGTTAGAAACATTGATGAGAGAGAATCATCATCGATCAGCTGCCTCTTGCACACCCCCCACTGGGGATGTGCCCGCAACCAAGGTACATGCCCTTGACCAGAATCGAACCTGGGACCTTTCAGTCAGCAGGCCGACGCTCTATCCACTGAGCCAAAATGGTATCAGTGAAAACACTTCTTTTTAAAAAATATTTTTATTTTTATTAATTTCAGAGATGAAGGGGAAAGGGAGAGAAAGGACAATGATACTCATTAATCTGTTGCTTCCTGCACGCCCCCTACTGGAGATGGAGCCCTAAGCCTGGGCAAGTGCCTTTGACTGGAATCAAACCAGGGACCCTTCATTGTGTAGATCATTGCTCTTGCTACTGAGCCAAATCGATCAGGGCAATATATTTTATTTATTTATTTTTTTTTTTAAAAAGAATCTTTAAGAAGTAATATTTGTGCTTCATTGGGAGGCACATGATAGCTAGTTGTTTCTCTTTTTGTGATGCAAGGAATCATTGATATTTATCTCCTAGAATAATAATTTCAGTAGGGCTTGCAAAATGGTGATATTCTGTGTTTCTTTCTGCAGTTGCTAGTTTGAATACATTTATACCTGGAAACTTCCAGTAATCAACTACCTGGTTACTCTGAAATTTAGTCTAGTTAGGAGAGGCAGGATAAATGCTTGATTGTTTCTCATACTTACCAGCTTTCACAACAATGAGTTGTTTTTCTAACATTCTCCAAAGATGACTTATGAGGTTTACTTGTTCTCCTTTTTGTTTTAGTATCATAACACAGTACGGATGTCAATATATTTGTTGTGGTGTTCACACTGTCCCTTGGCCAGTGGGAGCTTATTCAACAGCCTGCCAAGTCTTCTGGATACAGCCTTGCAGACCAAGCATGTCAAACTTGCAGCCTGCCAGCCTGGAGTTTGACATGCTTGTTGTAGACTTTGAGAGTTTCCTTATTTCTGGATGACAATATGTCCTAATCTTATTTTGTACATTTCCTGGACCAGACCTAGAGTTACCATTTCTCTAAGGGGATCTGGCTTTTTTAATTTTAATTTTAAAATATATTTTATTGATTTTTTACAGAGAGGAAGAGATAGGAATAGAGAGTTAGAAACATCGATGAGAGATAAACATCGATCAGCTGCCTCTTGCACACCCCCTACTTGGGGATGTGCCCGCAACCAAGGTACATGCCCTTGACCAGAATCGAACCCGGGACCCTTCTGTCCACAGGCTGATGCTCTATCCACTGAGCCATACCGGTTTCGGCGGGGACCTGGCTTTTTAATTTATTTATTGAAAACTGCTATGTAGAGTCCATAATTTGAGTTCAGAGGGTTCTCACTGCTATTGGGTTGGTCATTATTTCTAGGATTTTTCTATGGGTTAGCTCTTTTATTACTCAGAAATTTGGAAATACAGAAAAGCCGTAGTTTGCTGGATTATGCAGCTACAACTCAGGTGATGGTTCCAGATGCCACCTTCCTAATTTGGAGTGGAGGCTCTACGTGACACTGGGGCCAGTCAAGACATCTCCTTCCTGTTGTAAAGAAACATGCTTAACATTCATGGGAAGAGCCAGTGAGCTAGGCGGTTGGGGACCTTTGTTGAAGAGTGCCCATGTATGATATGCTGGCTGTTTTCCATAACATACTTTATTCTTCTCTGTCCCCAGTCACTTGTCTTCTATTCATTACACCACCTCCTCCTGCATTTCAACATTATTTCACAAGAGACAGTCTCATATGGGAAGAAGGAAACGAGACTCTACGCTGGACTTGCCCAGTCACCAGTCACATGAGAGTGCAGATGCAAATGTGGTTGGTGTCTTCCAGGGGTTGGCAAGTCATTCAGGACTAATTATGGTGTGACTGGAAAGTTAGACAGAGATCAGCTCTTGGAGGGTTGCAAAAGCTGTAGGAAGTGCTTTTCCTTCAGCGCAGCTGATGTGAGGGCAAAACCATTGGTCTTGTGCTCTAGAATGTATTTGTAGTTTTAAAAGCAGATTGGAGCCGAAACCGGTTTGGCTCAGTGGATAGAGCGTCGGTCTGCGGACTGAAAGGTCCCGGGTTCGATTCTGGTCAAGGGCAGGTACCTTGGTTGCGGGCACATCCCCAGTAGGGGGTGTGCAGGCGGCAGCTGATCGATGTCTCTTTCTCATCGATATTTCTAACTCTCTATCCCTCTACCTTCTTCTCTGTAAAAAAAAAAAAAAAAAAAAAAAAAAAATATATATATATATATATATATATATTTATTATTATTATTATTTTTTTAAAGCAGATTGGAGAGTTTTCTGTTCAAGATGGCAGATGTAGGAGAGGAACGTGACATTCTTTTCACTCTGAGCAGCAGAAGGTCCTGGCAATAAACATCTGGAAACTTGTCCACTAAAAAAAGAAAAGTGATATATAAATGCATATGTACAGAAGCCTGTTTCAAAAGGAAATCAAACTTGCTAGTAAAACGTTGGAGGTTGCATTAAGAACTGATGATGCATATAAACTTTAGATGATTTTGTGGCTTGTTTCTGTGTAATATGGGAAATCGTTGGTCATTGAATTCATTGAATTAGTCAGAATACTTCCCCAAATATTTAATTTAATTTTTAAAAAATATATTTTATTGATTTTATACAGAGAGGAACAGAGAGAGAGATAGAGAGTTAGAAACATCGATGAGAGAGAATCATCGATCAGCTGCCTTTGGCATACCCCCTACCGGGGATGTGCCCGCAACCAAGGTACATGCCCTTGACCGGAATCGAACCCGGGACCCTTCAGTCCCCAAGCCAACGCTCCATCCACTGAGCCAAACCGGTTTCGGCCAAATATTTAATTTTAAATCACTTCTGAGGGAGTAATT